GATCCTTTTGCTGAAACACAGGCAGGAGGTGCGTTTGATTCAGATCCTTTTGCTGGGACCCAGTTTGGAGACAAAGGTAATGGTTTTGACTTCGATCCGTTTGCTGAGACCTCAGGAGAAGGTGGGGTTGTGGTCACAGGGGATGGTAGAGGTGGGTGGGATTCAGACCCTTTTGCCAACAGCTTCCCAGCAGCCTCTTCGGGGACTGGGGGTCCGTCCTCCAACACCTCGTCCTGGCAGGAGGTTAGTGGCAGCAGTGGCTTGGAGTCTTCTGCCATTCAACAAAGCTCTGCGTCCATCCGTGGAACAGCAGCAGAAGGAAAAAAAGACGTAAACATTCCAAGAATTCACAAAGAACCAGAAAATTCAGACATGTCCGAAGATGAGGCTGCAAACCGGAGATTTGGAAAGTTGTACCAAGAACTAGATACAGAAAAGGAAGAGGTACTTGACTCCTTCAGTTTGGTAGCTTAGCATAGAGTAGACTAGAGACCAATATGAAAACCCTTTCCTGCCTTCTGTCCTCCCACAGACTGAGAAACAAAGACCTGGATCCCAGCCTGAGCTCCTCCCCACCTCGTACTTGTTCCCATCTCCTCATGTCCTCTGCTTGATCATTCCATACGTACTCGTTTCAGATGGAATCCATCATTCCAACTCATGTTACCTTCATCTTACCTAAAGGCTTTGAAGACTAATTTGTGTCTCTGCAATTTAATTTAGGTGACCAATGCATTTAATGGATTTTCACAGGTAATTTTTTTAACTTACATTTTCACCAAGTCAAACTGAAATAGAGACTTTGCAGCAAAGAATTCAGCTGTTAGGACAACAGTGTTTTGTATTCATCACATCTACTAATAGCAGATTGTTCAGTCTACTTTGGTCAAGTTTGGATGTCTCCAGTGGTTTAGTCTTGGTCAGCGTGAGGGTTAAATAGGATTTTCAAGGTTTTGTCTTATTATCTGTTGCCTTCTCTCAAAGACTTCTCCATTTTGTTTTTGAGCAAATAAACTTGACAACATGACAAGCATAAAAGAGGAATGAAGTGATTTTGAAAGTAGACCTTCACTAGTCAATAGCATGTGTATTCACCCTCCCAGCCTTTAACCCCTAATGTCTCCTATATCTCCTGACGTTTCTTCTCTCTCCGTCACGATGTCCCACAGTCCTATCTCCTAATAATATCTTCCAACATGCTTTATATGTATTGCCTTTTTTTGTGGATGATACGTAATTGTGTATTTGTGGATTCTGACTGTTAGATGTGATTCTTCTCTATTTTCAACAAATGCACTCCACTCTGAAGGATGCTGCTGCCCCGTCATTTTTTGCTGACTTTGATAAGATGGTGAGTTTTGTAAACGTGTTTAAATTTTTGTTCTCTTACATCTATCTATCTATCTATCTATCTATCTATCTATCTATCTATCTATCTATCTATCTATCTATCTATCTATCTATCTATCTAAGGAAGGTGGGTATTGAACTTTCTATGCAAGTTCTGATCTGGTTCTGGTATCGGCTCTGCAGCGAAAACCCTGTATGTGTGGTTTACATTGTGGAAGGTACTTGTAGGTTTATAGTTATGACTGAAAGATGTAACTAGCGTCCTGTTTAGATGTTGGACACACTTTTGACGAATTCTGTGGATTTTATTAAGTGTCATAGAAAATGTCAGGAGGCACAGTTGAACATGTGAACTGCTGTAAGTTAACTGGCATCTGTCTTTGATAAAGAACGAAGTGAACAGTGAGTCTGCTGAGGCTCACGAGGCCTCAGAGACACCAACTGCTGGTCCAGCAGAGCCTGCAGAGGAACAAGACAAACCTCCATCTGCCCCAACTGGAGGAGAGGAGGATGAGCTTCCACCTGCTCCTGCTGAAGAGGAACCTGGACCTCCATCTGTGGGAGAAGAGGTGGAGGAGCCTCCAGCTCCTGCTGCTGGGGAGGTGATGGAGGAACCTGGAGCTCCTCCTGCTGGTGGGGAAGATAAAGAAACAACTTCAGACAGCCCAAAGGAGGAGAAACCTGCTGTGAGTAGACATGGTCATAATAATGTAACAACAAGGAAAGTGTGATCACCTGACCATGTTCATCGTCATCGTCATCATTATCATCATCTCTATAATCATCATCACCATCATCATCATCATCTTCATCACTATAATCATCATCA